TAAACTGTGAGCTAAATAAAGCTTCCCCCTTTAAATTTGGGTGTTGGGTATTTGGTCCCAACAATGAGAAAAAAGTAACTAAGACACTGTTTGAGCTGAGTAGAATTCATTGTTAACCGTCAGGTCTTGTGTTTGTTCAATCCATTCTTAAAATGCAGAGGTGTGCTTGGGAGAGGTGGGTGCAGTCAGGAAGAGGACCAAGCTTGTGATGGGATAAGAACATGTTAGCTTCAGAATCAAATGGAAGAGACGGCCCATTCTGATTCAACCACTTGTAGATTCTTTGGACTTTTCTGAGTAATTTTGATCCAAGTACCTACGAAAGAAATAATAATATTCTGCCTTGCAGAATAACATTAATTATTTAGGGGGGTTACGTAGCTCAGTTTCTCACATACAGGAAGTGTTCGGCTATTGGCAGTCATGATGGTGATGGTGATCATGGTGGTAGAGGTGATGAGGATGACAACAACAAAGACTGCAGCACAAATGACTGGAAGAATGACAGAGGATGATGGCAATGATGATGGGCAGGATAGCAGTAAGGGTCACTTCTAAAATTGTCTTTTTTTTTTACTGACCCAGGGGATTTAACCCGAGACCTTTGCACTGAGCTACCTCCTTAGACATTTTTTTATTTTGTATTTTTGAGACAGGATCTCTTGTAAGTCACTAAGAGTCCTGGGCTGGGCTTGAACTTGTGATCCTTCTGTTAACTTCCCAGAGTGCTGGGATTTTCACTGTGTGCCACCACTCCTGGCTTGGAAAATGCTTTGATATAAACCAGCCTGATAAGATTTAGATGCAGAGATCTGGCAGGAGTTCACTCATGGAAAAGCTCTCCTGTACCTGGCACGCAACGCTAATGGTTGAGAAGCTGTTCAACCTAATGATGCGGTAATAGCTGAGGAGTAAGTAATGGTAACTAAGATATGGAAGTCAACAGACGGCTAAGAGCGGAAGCCAGATAACCTGTCTACTGCACGCAGAAGGAGGAAGGAAAGATGTGGGCTAAAATACAGCACTTTACAAATCAGTAATAAATGTGATCATTTATTTTCTGATGGTAAACACATTACCAAGATTGCTCTTGCCAGGGACTATGACACTGCTGGTGTATGACAGCAAAGACAGGCGCTCTCTGCCCATGTACCTTCCCTACGCACAAGCCCCAGGAAGCACAGCGTGTGTATCTAAAGATGTTTGTCGGATCATGACACTGATGCTGTCAATTTCAAAAAATACCTAAATAATTTTAAAAGGCTTAAGTGATAAATACAAATGGTTATTTCCTATAAATAGGACCTATGAAGAATGTGTTACATTCTGAAAGAAGAGAAAGTAAAGATAGGAATGAATGAGCAACAGAGAGAGAGAGAGAAAGACAGGGAGAGAAAAAATGAGATTGTAAGATTCACAAGTAACACAGCAATGTTCTTATTAAATACAGCTAACATATTAATTTTAAGTCCTTGGGGATAACACTGAAAATATTTGCTTAAGGGAGGCTAATGTCTATGTGAAATATCACAATGTGAATTTCATAGAGTTTTACACAAATTAGAAATTTTCATAAGATCTTGAAGAGTTTCCTAATTACGTAATAATACACAAACCCAACACCAAATACCACAGTTAACTGACCACCAACTTCCATGAAGACAATAAAGGCAAAAACTGGAAAGTGACTATTCTTCCAGAATCATTACACCCATAAAAAGAAAAAGGCCACAGTCAATCAGTCTAGTCCATAGGAAACAGGAGACCACGCTTCCAAATTTTCTTTCTACAAATTTTATTGGTGTATCACAAAATTTTTGATTATGTCAATCATCAACTTGGGTACAGAGAATGTCCTTTGGTCCCAGTAGTTTATTAAGCAAGGCTAATGTGTAAGTTGGGACGCATTCCCTGCAGATCTCAGCCTCAATCATAACAAGTGACAAATGAACCAAGAGAGGGTAGGAGTTGGGTGTTTGTGTTTTGTTGTTGGAAAGCCTTGGGTCACCATCCTACTCCACTTAGTGTTTATTTATGTATGAACAAGTCACTTAAGCTTCTCAAGGTTCAACCTTTCCATTGCTGAGGGTAATGTCACTGGCCCCATTGAAAGTAATGAAGATTAAATAGTATACACAAAACATTAAGCATGTGCCCAGTACAAATACAGAGGGATAAAACATTGCTCAATTTGCAGAGCTACTGCAAGAATTAAAGGAGGCATAATATGTGAAAAATCACTTAGAATGGTACCTCCCATATCACCACTCCTCAATAAATACCAGCTTATTATTATAAATAAGCCTGAGGTTCCCTCTAGCTCTGAGCCTTCTATGACTCTATTACATGTTTCTTGTAAATTAGATATAAATTATCTGTCTCCCAACCAGCATGTCTGTCACCATCTCACTCAGAAATTGAGTCAGAATTCACTCTCCAAGGTAGAAGCCTCAGTGAGGAGCTACACACTTAGCTTTCTGCCTCAGCCAACAAATGGACTGTCATTCCAGCCTGTAGTTCAACACAGAGACAGACCCGGTGTCAACTAGCACATATTATGTTGAATGACCCACACAGATGCGCACCCTGGCACTGACCTCAGAAAGGTGAGACATATTCACAGTTGGAGAGGCTTTCAAGAGGGATAGGTTGGATGCTCAACCAATTTCACCTCTGTGGTTGACATCTCCCACATACCAGGATATAATTCATGCCAAGCTCTGTCTAAGCTTTTTGATCTACCATAAGAGGTCAGGGTGAATGTCATTCCTCAGCTTCCCATGAAAATGATTAATATTAATGAGCCATACCTGCTTAACACTAGCATTTCTTATGAACCAGTAATATTTTGGTACCAATTTCAGTCACATACAATTGTATCCGTGGCAGGGCAATGACAAAAAGCAATAGCTGATGCCTATTGGATGGTTAACTATGTGTCAGGGACTCTACTAAACACTGTAACTATATGCACATGCAATTCCTACAACTCTAGGAAGAGCAGCTAAATAATGAGGCTTCAGGTGACATTCAGATTTGTGTTTTAACATATGTACAACTTAGTAGGGGTAGGGGTAGATGGACAAAGAAGATAAATTTTTACAAAAAAAATTAACTTCTATCCAGCAACAAGACAGAAGGTATTTTACAACAAAAATAAGTACCATAAAAGAGACACTTTAAATGTTCTCCTTTTAGAGCTTTCAATTAATTTTCAAACCTGTGTAAAATAGTACTCCATGGTTCAATTCCTACATTTCTAAGAAAAGCTGCATGGTGATCTACAATTCACCAGGGTTTCTATATGTAACTGAGATAAGTTTTCCCTATTGCTACAATCCCCATTTTACAGATGAGAAAGGTGAGGGACTCAGGCTCACAAAGGCTTGTAGCTAATAAGCATGAGAAGGGGTGTTTGAACACAGACTGATTCACTCTAGGGCCTAATGCTCTTATACATCATTGTACAATTTTAATTTAACAATGGGCAAGATACCAAAACCAACAAGGAGACAAAAATTATTCTTAACTTTAAGTTCCCACACTGTAGTTCTATTACATCTTTTCCCATAGCTGCAAGAAGGAAAAATGACAAAACACAAAATTCCTCATGTATTTAATCACCATCACATGTACTATGTGCCCAGAATGCTGTTCATAAAAGAACCATAAATATTAACAAATCAGGAGGCAGCTCAAGTGATTCAATCACTGTACAAGAAAAGGTACATGTAACAGTTACACAGACCATTACTGAGGTCTTAAGAATGCTTAAGAACCTGGCCTTTCCTATAATCATACCTTGAAGCTAAAAAGGAAACCAAAAGTATAGTGCCATACTTACGTTAGAAGAAAAAATCCTAAGAAACAGGCCTTGCTAATGTACCCATCACTAAGCACTAGACAGAAAACCTTCAGCTATGACAAAGCACTCAGTAATATCCTAATTTACAGCGAAGGGCCAAGTATATGTTTTCCTGCACAAAGTAAATCACTCCAAGACAAATTATTTTATGATGCTAGATTTGAGAGGTCTGATAGTTCTATTAGTCTCATAGCATAGGTTTCAGAAAAGTACAAACAAGCAAAAATAAAATAAAATATCACGTCCTGGGTTTTAAGAATATTATTTTCATGGTTTATGGGAACCAGCGTAGGTAGTGCACAGTGAGTTACTAATCTTTTTTTGTTTTAATAAATGTGTTTACCAGCTAGGAGAAAGCAGCTTGATTCAGTGTCTCATAGAGCACTCAATTTTGGTAAATTAAAGTTAATAACATTTCCCTATGAGCTATGATAACATCCATGATGAATCAGAACAAAATGCACCATATCTGGTGGAGATGTGGTAAGAAAAACTTCTGCATCTTGGTGGTCTCTGACTTGAAAGAGACAAAGGATAATATTCACTGTCCTCAAGTGCAGAGCTAAGCAAGCTAAGGAGAGCCAGTGACTGGTGCATACATTGCCCATTTATTTGGATTTTCTCCAACCTTCATGGTTGCAAAACTGGGCCAACTGTAAGCCAGCATTTCTATCTGGAAAGGTATCAAGTATACAAAGTTAAGGGAGAATTACAAGTTGAGGACAGAAATGATTACAAATGCATAAATCATTACCAGACAACTCTACAAGTACTACTAAGCATGAAATTAAGCCTCATGAATGGAAATGCCTTATTGATAAAATTTCAGTTATAAATTAAGGCTAAAAAAACTATATTTCCTCATTTCTTTCTACTGAAAAAGTAAATAGAACTCATTAGTAAATGAAGTTTTTAACACTATGAAGTGGCTTAAAAATAAGAGGTGAATGCTCCACTTTATAATTGATGCCATAACATACTGCTGAAACCAATGCAATACTATGCAACATAATTATCTGCATTGTTCTCTGTGGTTCCATTTAAACTAATGTTATCTCATTTCTCCTACTTCTCCAGGCAGACAAACAAGGGACCTTCTCCCTTTGAGCCTGTGTCCTGACTCTGTAACTCTTACCCTTTTAATTAGTCCTCTCTTTCTGTGGCTGGTGTCAGAAATCACAGGGCAAGCTGTTCATGGCCAGCCTGCTCACTGTCTGAAGCCAAACTCACTCTTAATTAAAGCTGCTTACATCAGAAGAGCATTTCTCTATTTACAAAATGTTCTTATGTCCGTTATCTCCTTTGGTTTGCACGAGATCTCTAAAAGGAAGACAAAGAAACAATTACTATCTTCAACACATGGAACAAGAAGCAGATGACAGCAGAAAGACAGGGCGTTGGAGCTCAGTAGTAGAATCCTTGCTTAGCATGCATGAGGCTCTGAGTTTGATCTCCAGAACTGCAAAAAAAAATTTGATATTACAAGGTCAGAGAAGTATGCACAGTTACAGATGGTCATGAGCGAACTCGGATCTCCAAATGCTAGTACTGTTCTCAATACTGGCTTCCTACTTCCTTTCTCCTGTACTCTGCATACACAGTTTGCAAATTACAAGGCTGCATGGACCGGTAACATCAATGGGGACAAATATCATAGTCAGACACAGAGAAGGTAGGGGATGATGGAAAGTAGTGAGTGTTTTGGAGAACCCTGCTTAAAAATATGTCAATTTAATACAATTTTACATATAACACAGGTAAAAAAAAGCACACATATATGGGGGTGGGGCTTATAAATTTGTCCCTTGGGTTAGTCATGGTGCTACTTGTATATACACACTTGATAACATATACTTAAGAATAATAGATAACAATATCATGTACCATGTAGGGTTAGAATCATGTAACCATATCACTACATGATTCAGAGCTCAGTACACAAAGCAAAACTCAGACCTTGGACTTGACAGCAGCCTGCTCTACTAGGAAATAGCAAACATCAACTCCCCACTGCCAACCAGAGTCAGGCAAGCCTTCTAATTGGTTTCCATAACACTTTGCATACATCATAATTTGAAATATTTCGGCACACAATGCAAGATTCTCTGGGTGTGTAGTATCACAATTCCTACATTTTGACTTTCTTACAAGAGCTCAATGCCTGAAGCCTAGCATTCAATAAATATTTGACAACAAGCTCTAAAGGGTTCCCATAAAGCTCACGTATTTTGATAGATTAAGAAAAGGAGAGAGTTGAGATGAAACCATTTCTAATAGTAATGACAGCGACGCATCTTGAGCACTACCACATCAGTTACGGGTACAAGATTTAGACACAACATGACATACACGTACATCACAGCACCAATATCCTTGGGCCGTGCATTTTTTACCAACAAACTCCTTAAAAATACTTTGAGCTTTATTTTCCTTTCCTAAAGACCAAGATCGTGTAATACTTACTACAAAGGTTCAATATAAAGCGCTTCAGGAGTCCCTGCCATTTACAGATTAACTCACTAAACAAATACTGATAAAGGGTCATCTGTTAGGTGTTAGGCATTCCTATGTGATCCTTAACCTCATGGTACTTTTATTTAAACAGATGTCAATTAAATAATCACACACATAAATATAAAATTATAGCTATGGCTGTTCTGAAGAAGAAATACGCCACATTATGGGGATGGGGAACAGGACCTGCCTAAGAAGGGAGAGATGAGGAAAAGGAGAAAGATGCTAAAGAACGGAGTACAGAACAGGGATCTAAAATATAGGTAGTAACCAGCTAGGAGCAAGAGCCATGCATCTGAGTGGAAAGCCTAGCTAGAGTATGGAAGGGTGCCAGGGGAAGACAAAGTGTAACATGGACCAATTAGATCTTATTTGCTTCATAAACATACTGGTATCACTCTGGCAACATGCCCCATGCAGGACCAGGCAGTGGGGGAGGGCGCAGACAGTTAAGTGGCTATTAACCTGACCAAATGAGATGCAAATGATCATTTAGACCAAGACACCAGGAACGAGATGGGGGAAAGTGGGAGGACTAGCATGTGTGATAGAAATGATAACTTGCTTTTTATTAGAGATATTGCACACAACATTACATTTAATACTCACAGAATCTCAGCAGGGATAGCTACTAACTAATCTAGTTTGTGTAGCATATAGAAAACACAGTCTCAGAGAAGACAGGTGATTTGCTACAGGTCCCACGGCTTGGCATTTGTTTGACTTGAAAATACTGTGTACTATCGAAGACTGCCCTCAGCTAATCAGACCACTAAATAAAGTGTGTGATGCCTTCACTAACGGCAGTCCTATGCACACAGTAACAAGGAAGGGGTTGAATCTTGGCTCTGGTATGAGTCAAACAATCCATAGTTCTTAAAAACATTTCAGAGCTTTGATATGAAATCTATACTGCAGACCCTGGTAATCATTTCAATTACACAGTACTTTTTTGTTTCTAAAGAGAAAAAATAACAATAAAACAGTTTCAAAACAGGTTAGTAGGAGAGTTACAATAATTAATACACTGCGTATTGCTGTCTTTATAGTAGCTTTTCAGAGTACAAGATATAGGCATGATATCTTGTCCAAACAATATCAGCACAAACCTTTCTTTTCAATCAACTAAGAGAAACTAGCTGTTTAGATATCTAAACTATCTCATGTATAAATATATTTTTTTCTTTTTCCCTTTCTTCCTTTCCCCTTTCCCCCATTATAGTTCGTCTTTTCTTTTGAACACTTTCTTCCCAGTTCCCAATATCTATTGTACATTTTCGATCTTATGCTCTCTTTGAGTTTCTCCCACGAGTGACACAGTACAATGTTTACACGTAGGGGTTTGCTTTATTTCACTTGTTAGTATGGTCTCAAGTTGCACCCATTTACCTATAAAAGTCTCCAGTTTATCATTCTTTAGTGCCGAGTAGTACTCTGTTATATAAAAAATCTACATCTTTTTATCCATTCCTCAGTTGATGGGCATTTGGGTAGCTTCCAAGATTCAGCTAGTACAAATTGACAAAAGCTGTCGGAGTGCTCATGTAGACAGATCAAAAAGTATAAAACACATGCACCCATATGCATTGGTAAATTATCATACTCAAAATGTACAGCTCCTGGTGGCAGATATTTTGACCATCTACTTCCCTCAAACTGGTCTCTCTTTATCATCATCACTGAAAATAAATGTATCTATTCTTGTGTATATATTCAATAAAAAAATTTGTAGTTCTACTTACCCACATCAGTATTATGAAACATAAAATAATCAACAAATCACTTTTGCTTTAACAACAGGAAACCCTAAACACCTAACGGGTTTTGTAGCTACCCTACAAAGAAAGGAAAATTGTCTGACCTAAATTTCTTGCACTACGTCCAAGACCATAACTCTTCCTTTTACCTCAGGGGTTACAAATCCAAATGTTTACAGAGGCTATTCAGAGATAGCAAATATATACTACAACCTTGAGTGGTAGGGCTGTTATAAACCAGTAAATAGCAATCAGATTGAATAAAAGTACACTTATGCTCACAGACAGGTAGACTCTGACAGTCTCAGCCAAGCGCCAAAATGAGCTCAGGGACCCCTCAGTTTCTCTGCTACACAGAGGACAATCTCTAACTCTTCCCAGACTACCGAGTGCATAGACTTTTACTTTTGCTCACTTAGCAGCCTACTCCAATCACTCGGGCAGTGCATTTGTTTATCTGTCAACTATCCAGCGTGTCATTCCAGCACACGTCATTTCAACCAGTCGGCTCTCTTGTATTGAACGAATTGGATAAAATCATCATTTTTATATTTCCTGTTTTATACTTTTATAAAAATAACAGAAAAATGCAATTTGGGGTCATCCTGTAAATAATTGGACTTGTAAATGGTTAAAGATCTACTTTGTGATACGTAGTACGATACTTTTTAAATGTTCTCCCGCAGCCCGTTTTGTGGTACTGGTGACTGAACCCAGGGTCCTCACACTGAACTACATCCCCAGCCCTTTTCTATTTTGAAACAAGGTTTCACTAAGCCACCCAGGCTAGACTTACACTTTCAACCCTCCTACCTCAGTTTCACAGGACACTGAGATTACAGACAGGTAGCATCGACCTAAAGTTTTCTTTCTTCATGAATTCGTGTCACTTTCGGATGTTACTCTACAACAATACACTAGGAAGGGACTCCACAGATAAATCTAGTTCTTCACACGCTAACCTGAAGGAACAATATGTTATTTTTTCCTTCTAAATTAAATACATCCTTCCATGCCTCTCTCCAGGGTGGTTTCCTTCTAGTATCCATCCAAAGTAGGAAAATTATAGCATATGGAATATGCATGCTCTGGTATCTGTTTAAATAAACTCCCTCCACTATGTTGGGACAAGATGTAAAGTAATAAGTGAAAGTAATGCACTAACTTTCTGTGTGTGCTCAGAACTCTCTTCCCACATCAACACTATTATTGATCTAAATCATGCAAAAATACATCTGCTATCTATAGCACATATGCTCATTCTCTATAAAGGGCTTTGATTATACAACAGTGTTGCAAGTGCCCATGTTATCACAGACATGATTACAGTAGGCTTCATAACTTGCATTTGAAATTCCTAGCGTTCTTCTCCCAAAGGTTAGCTGAAATTTTTAAAATACTTTAGAAGATTTAAAGAATTTTTTTCTCAGATCAACAACAAGGATAAACCAATATCAGAAAGAAAAAGAACTAAAGTCATCACAAGGGTTTTTTTTTTTTTTTTTTTTGTCTTTTTGAGACAGGGTCTCAGTATGCAGCTCAGGTTGGCCTTGAGCTCACTTTGTAGCCCAGGCTGGTCTTGAACTAACAATGCTCCTCCTGCCTCAGCCTCCCAAGTGCTGGGATTACAGGCATGCACCACAATGCCTGGTCCTGGTACAAATAATTCATACCAAATGAATCTCAATTTTAGATAAGCTTATGAATCTTAAAGATTAACAAATTTCACAATTATAGAATATGGTAAAGAGTTTGCCAAAATGTTTCTTGACAAACTAAAGATCAAGAAAGAAAAATGTGAGGTAGATTATGATAAGATTAGCATAATGAGTGCTACTATGCTGAATTACTGTCCACAAAGCACTTGAATTCATGGCTGATATCAAATTCGGGAGATTAAAGGAATGAAGGTACTACACGCCTCTGCCTGTGTTCCTGCCCACCCTGATTTTTAAGTGGTCTCTTTTAAATATCTTTTACTCAAAACTAGAAAAAATGTCCTCCATACTTGTCTAATGTGTATGTCACAAATTTACTGGATGAAATTTG